AACATGGTCCTGGTGCTCCTCTATGTTCTTAGAATATATTAGAATGTCGTCCAAGTAGACTATTATGAATTTATATAAGTAGTCCCTTAGTACATCATTCATAAAGTCCTGAAAGACAGCTGAAGCATAACTGTGTATTCATAATGACCATATCTTGTAATGAAAGCTGTCTTCTATCCATCTCCCTCTCTGATGCGGGCTAAGTTGTAAGCCCCTCTCAGATCTAGTTTAGTTAAAACTGATGCCCCCTTCAACCTGTCAAACAACTCCGTTATTAATGGTATTAGTAAGCGTTGTGTATTGTGATCTTATTTAGATCCTGATAGTCTATAAAGGGACGTAAATCCCCTTTTTTCTTCTAAAGAAAAAAGAAACCTGCACCAGCAGGCAAGGATGACTTGGTTAGGCAGCATTTTTATTAAATTCTCTGTAATGTATTCCTCTAGGACCTTATTCTCTTTAGCAGATAAGGGATAAACTGAACCTCTCAGAGGCATTGTTCCAGGAAGCAAATTAATAGTGCAGTCATAAGGATGGTGCAGGGGTAATTTCTCAACTTCTTTTTGCTCAAATACAGCCTTAAGGTCTAGATAAGGTTCTCGTACCTGTGTCATCAAAGGTTCCATGGTGGGCACATTTAGCAGACAAACAGGTTTAACATTAGTCACACACCCATTCATACAGGACTCATTCTACTTGGTGATCTCTTTTTTTCTCCCAGTCTATCACAGGATTATGCTTAAATAGCCAAGGAAAACCAAGAATGATAGGGAGAAAGTAGGAGAAGTTATATTTTTGTAGGATTATTACTTCCTGATGTAACAACTACAGTCAACAAAAATTGTTCCTTAGTAATGACAGGAACTTGAAGTGGTCTACCATCTATGGCCTCTACGACCAAGGATGTTTGTCTTTCTTTTATTGGGAGAGAATAAGTCTTGGCGAAAGTAGTGTCAATAAAATTCTCGGCAACACCATAATCGATTAAGGCTAGAGTATGTACTTCCTTCCCTTACCATTTCAATGTTATAGGTAGTAGAAGCCTAAGTTCTTGTCTTTTGTTAAAGGAGAACATATGTATTACACCCAAGGTCTGTCCCCCGGAAAGGAAAGGTTAAGGCTAACTGTACTGGGTTTCTACTTTCTAGTATGTCCCTAGTGCTATGCCTATGTCTCATGCATTCATCAATGTGGGCTAGATAGGTTATTAACACCGCCAAAGTA